AAGGCTAATGGAGAGAGGTCTCACTCCATCCAAGTGAAAGGTTGTACTTTTTTCCAAGAATAGAAGTTATGTTCCCCTGATTAGGCTATTTAATGAACAGATTGAAGTGGTAGACTTTATCAAATTTTTGGGTATTTTTTTTGGACTATAACTTTAGTTGGTCAAGTCACATTAATAATGTGGTTAATAAATGTTATAAAATTATAAATATTTTAAAAAGTTTAACAAGAGTATCATGGGGAGGTGACCAGAAGCCTTTATTAATGATATATAGAGGTTTAGTTAGGTCGAGGCTAGAATATGGCAGCGTTTTATTCATGCACTAAAGCTCTTTCGGTAAAAATGGACAGGATTCAATATTTGGCTCTCAGAATATGTTTGGGTTGTATGTCCTCAACCCAACATTAGAGATAAAAGCATCTGAACAACCTTTAAACCTTAGAAGACAACTATTAGCAGACAGATTCATTTTAACAAAATTCGCCATATCACCAAATATGGTCATAACTAGTTTGAAACAGTACGATCCTCTCTTCTCAAAGAGGTCCAAAGCCCTATTAGTAAAAAATCATTGCTTAGTTATATCGTTTAAAAAATATCATGATACCTCAAAAACATTTTTTAGAAACTCCAAGGCACCAATTCTTACTTGACTTTGACTTTTTTGAACAACTTAATCCAATCTCAGTGATATTGGATTGGGGGGTTCAAAAGGATTCAAACACATGCCTAATAAAAAAGCTTTTTGAAGCGAAAATTAACAATGAATGGTCTGAAAGTGTTCAAATATATACATATGGATCTGTTCAAAAGAAAATAAGTTTAAGTTCATTTGGAATATACATCCCATCTCTTAACATAGAAAGATCTTATGAGATCGATAGTAGATCTTCTATTTTTTTAGCTAAACAATTGGCAATTTTCTATGCATTTAAAATATGTTTGGAAAAAAAATTCATAAGTTCATAATATTTTCAGACTCTTTAAGCTGTTTATTACAGATTAAGAAAAATCCTTGGAGTTCAAAATCAAATAATATAATGTTAGAAATTAACCAAATTACCAAAAATAAAGGAAAACTTTGCTGGATACACGGTCACGCGGGGATCAAAGGTAACGAAAAGGTCGACCAGTTGGCAAAACAGGGTTTAAAAAGGGTTATAGAAAACTTTAAGATCCCAACTATGGAACTCTACAAAGAGACCAATAAACAATTGCATTCTAGTTGGGAAGAATTTTGGGACAATTCAATAAAAAAAAAGGTAAAAACTATATTTTAGCTACACATATGGAAAATTCCATGGTTTAATAACTTGAAATATTTGGGGAGAGATTTTATTACAACAATATGTAGATTCAGACTGGGACACTGCGCATTCCCAGCACATTTATTTCGTATAGGTGTGAAAGACGATCCGTTTTGTGAGTGTGGTGAATATGGAGAGCTACAAATCTATTATAGCATGCCCATTTTTAGATACATATAGAAGCATATACACTGCTCAACAATTGAACTGGATAATTGCTAAAATCCTGAAATTTATATTTAAACATATTAAAAAAAAACTTTTTTTTGTATTAACAATAAACACTATTTATAGCGATTATTTTTTGCATGTTTATTGTTCGTTGTCAATGCTCTTAACTCTTTCATGAAAATATGCAGGAATGTTGTTTGAAAATCGTAACGTATCAGTTGTGCGGAAGAACTTGTTCTTACTTTGTTCTGTTACTTTTATCAATAATTTTGTGTATTCGTGTAAACAATATGCCGCTTCGACGATTAGAGGCAGTACAACTGCAACAATTAGTGCGTTGGATAGAGGAAGGTTTGTCCCAAGAAGAAGTCGCCACGCGGCTGATTGTGTCTCAAAGTGTCGTAAGTCGTGCTTGGAATCGGTATCAAGCAACTGGGTCTGCAGCGTACACACATGGGGGAGGACGAGAACGAGCTACAACTCGTGCTCAAGACCGCTTTATAGTCCTGACTGCGAGAAGAAACCGAACATTTACGGCTTCAAGAATTAACAGCTTCTTTAGACAAGCTACTGGACGAGTAATTTCTGGTCAATCTATCAGAAGAAGGTTGCATGCATGTAACTTAAGAGCTAGACGTCGCGCAACACACCCAAGACTGACGGCGGAGCAGCGTGCATACCGATATCGGTGGGCGGAAGAACACAGTCTTTGGACTTTTCAAAATTGGAGGCACTGCCTCTTTACAGACGAGTCCAGATTTCGTTTGTATACGTGTGATGGCCGAATATTGGTATGGCGAGAAAGAGGACAGCGATACAATGAAAATTTAATGGCCCCAACAACTCCTTTTGGTGGTGGATCAGTTTGCGCCTGGGGAGGCATATGTTATAATGGTCGCACTGATTTAGTGGTCTTAATTAATGAGACAATGACTGCCATACGATATCGGGACAGGGTTATAGCGCCGATAATTGTACCATTTTTTGGTGCAATAGGTGAACGATTTGTTTTTATTGACGATAATGCTCGTCCTCATCGTGCGAGAATTGTAAACGATCGCATAGAACATCATGGAATTACAAGAATGGATTGGCCACCCTGTTCACCAGATATGAATTGTATTGAACATGTTTGGGCTGAAATGTCTAGGCGATTAAACCGAAGTCAACAGCCTCCCCAAACCTTAGAACAGTTGGGTAATGAGTTGCAGGCAATTTGGGAAACCATACCCCAGCAATTTATCAATAATTTAATAGAGAGCATGCCAAATAGAGTGACAGCACTAAGACGAGCCAGGGGAGGTCCAACAAGATATTAATTTTTTTATAGGGATTTTGTAAGTTGCGCAATGCAAGAATTTTGTATGTTGTTACTTTTTCAATTTTTTTAATTTTCTTGTAATTTTGAACTAAATGGTTTTTCTTTTCAGTTATAAATATAATCAATAAAATGTTTTCTATGTTACATGATTTTTTTATTTTATTTTGAATTATTGATAAAAATAAACAAAATTTTACAATATCCACTTCAATTGTTGAGCAGTGTATATATATATATATATATTCCTTAAAGACTCTAATATTAAATTATGATATGTTTAGATCATCCCTCCAACCCTGACTTTACTGTCCGTTCAGGCTAAGTTGAACGGTCTAAGGAAATTCACCCCGTCCATCATCTCTATGTTCAGGCACGATTAAATACATGTATTTCGGTAGCCGCTCTGTACGAACAAATGGCAAGCCGCGGCACTGGTAAATCATCTTCTTGTTACCGAAATCTCGCGACGATTCGATGTTTAATTTAATTAACGGCCACATGATCCCCCACCAAAGCGCTCAACTTAGCCTGAACGGACTGTATCTGTGTTTGTGCTCTTACATAACCTAAAAGAAACCTCTATAAACACTCTGGGCCAAAAGAAACTCAATGAACAAAAGTCTAAAAAAAAGGAAAATATATAACACTAGTAGCTGGTCAGTAAGAGCTCTATTGTCTCAAGGCCAATTTCCTTTCTAGGAAGGAAATAAACAAGTATAGAAGAAGAAGAAATTGAAAGTTTTAGAAAGGAAAGTAAATACAATAATGTCAGTATTTGCAAGCAAAATACAGGACGCCCACAATACTGGACAGTTGAAAAAAAGATCTTCTTCTTCAAAGTGGTTAATGGATTTATTGATTTGCCAGATATTCTATCAAGTTTTAAGTTTAAGATATATAATAGAAATCTTAGAACGTCTGAATTTCTTTTGGTACCGGATTTTAGAACGGTTTATGCTGGTCACTCTCCTTTGGTTCGGGTTTGCAAATCCGTAAATATATTTAGTTCTATCGATTTTTTTGTAAAAAAAAACAACTATGATTGTGACATACCTATTTGTTAATATTTTGTTTAAATATTTATATTTTTGTTAGTATTTACTGTTTTATAACATATTATATAGTTAAGTATTTATGTTTGGTATCACATTACTTATTCTTCATTGTATTTATATTGTAACTGATATTATGCGTAATAAAGAAAAAATATTTAATACTTTTGGTCCAAAATGGGACGCCCCTGATCAAAATTTCAACTTTAGTAAGTTTGGCATAAAATGTCATGCCAGGGTGATAGCGACAGATTTTTTGAGTTAATAAATATACAGCAATATTTTTTAGTTTAGACAATACAATGAAAATGCAAGTCTACCAAACTTTTAGTGGTACAAACATAAAAAAATATTAAACAAGTTAAATTTGAAAGGTTAGGCACCTAACGTCAATTTTACTAACTCCAAATTCATCAATATAGTTACAACCAAGGTTACATCAAACGATGCGCGCAGTTTTTGACGCCTGTGGGTCGGTAGGCCAAAAAAATCCTGGAAATTTTGTGTGAATTTAACTTAATTACAAAAATGACACAATCAACAATAATTAAAGCCGGGTTCTAACAGAAAAGTAATTTAATTTAAGATTTAATTTAATTTAACTTAAAAGTTAAAAACCCAACAATCCTTTGTAACGTTCATACAGTGATGTAATTTAAGACTTAATTTAATAGTTGGCCAACTTTTATCTTTTAAATTAAATTACGTTATTTCAAGGTTATTTCGTATTATCTAACCTATTTTGGGAAAACCTAACCTATTTTGTGTAAACGGTTTTAATAATACGCTGTGTCTAGTCTCACGCTAGCGTGAACGCAATTTTATTCTTATTCTCACGCGGTGACGTCACTAAAGGTAACATAACCTAAGATTCTTTCAAGAATCTAATTTGTTCTGTGAATCTAATTTTCGCGGTTTTGAGGTTTTTTAAACGTTGGCAGATTTGTGAAATCTGCCCTGTTACAAGTGTACGTAAAATGTATTGCCATAGACAAAAACAACAATAATGATGAGTTAAAACTAACTAACTAACACAAGAAGAAGAAGACTAACCAAGATGGTTGTGATTTGTGGCTCCTGTAACAAAAATGTGACAAAAACGCAGCATTCCCTGCAATGCGATAAATGTAAGAAATGGTCACACCGCAGTTGTACCGTAGTTACCGAGGAAGACCAAGAAGTGCTTAAAAAACTGAAAATTAGGTGGATTTGTGACCCATGTACGTATAGTGAAGTTAGAAAATCGCTAAACAACGTGGCCAGTCCCACAAAAGAAAATGACAAAGCTCAGAAAATCATTATGGCGAGCCTAGATGAGCTGAAAAAAGAAGTTCGCGACCTTAGGTATGACCTTAAGTTCTACGCAGAAAAATATGAGGAGCAACAGAAAAAAAACCTACACTTTGATACAGAAATTGAAGCATTGAAAGTGGAAAACGCAAAAATCATGAAAGAACTGTCCCGTATCAAAGGAAAACATGACAACAATGACTTGCGAATAAAAAATATTATCATGATGGGCATAAAAAGTTCAACAGATGAAACAGAAAAAAACCCAGACGAAATCAAACAAAGAGCATCCAAGGTGCTAAGCTTTATTGACCCCAACCATAATATCTCCATAGACGACATCAGGCTAATAAACAAAAAAGAAAATACTCCAATATTAGTATCGTGCAAAACACTTGAGCAAAAACTAAATTTCATGAAACGAAGAAAAGGGCAAAATCATTGTGGCTTCTCTGGATCAAACAACATATTTTTAAATGAAGACCTCTCTAAGGAGAATAGGGAATTGTTAAAAAAGGCACGATCCTTACGTGATAAAGAATACAAGTATGTTTGGACTGTAGCAGGCAAAATCTACGTCAGAAAAGAGGACAAAAGTGAAAAAATTCGGATTTTTGACGAAAGTGATCTGGCTAAACTATCATGAACTCCGTTTTTCCACACCCTGATAATTAAGTTTAGTTTTAGATGTTCATGTAATAATCTGTGCTCATTTGATATAGAAATGGCTAATACAATTGATAATTTATTTGATAACTATCGGGTACATAACACTTATGTGCTTGATAGTCTAATTGACTGTGATTTCTTGAATGCGGCTCAACATTAGAAGTTTGAACAAGAACTTTAATAACCTTTTGGCATTTTTAGCATGTGTTAATTCTCAGTTTGATGTACTTGTCCTTTCTGAAACCCACACTATACATAATATAACTCAATTCCATATAGAGGGCTATGATGTATTCTACAACAATAGCTGCATAAATAAGTGCGATGGGACTGTGGTTTATGTAAAACCATCACTAAAACCTAATGGTACAGTATTGAATATCAATAACAGTAAGTTTTTATATGTAAGTTTGGAAAAAATTAAACTAAGGGTTAGTATTATTGCCATATACAGATTGCCTTCAACCTGAAAACAAGAGTTTGTAACAAATCTTAACTTAATGCTACGTGATGAGGTAGATTGGTCTGGGATTCAGGTGTTCACTGGGGATATAAATATTGATCTGCTTTCTGATTCAGCTGATTCACTGGATTACTTAAATACAATGGCGCAATTTGGCTTCATAGCTAGAATAAATAAATATACAAGAACAGATGGTTAATCTCGCACGTGCATTGATCACATCTTTAGCAGAACCAGAAATCTACCAAACTCAAATGAAATAGGGGTGAACTCGGCGGTGATCACCTCGGGTCTAACGGATCACTTTCCCATACTGGCTAACTTCTCTCTAGGTGTAAATTCTGGCTTTTCTAAAGAAAATAAACCATATAACAAACTTTGTTTACATAAACTATCTTACAATCTTAAAAACACTAATTGGAATGATCTTTACTCAGAGAGGGATGTTGACAGTGTGGCAGAAATGTTAGTTAGTAAGATTAAAACTTGTATAAAAGAATCTACAGAGATACTTCATCATAAAAACAATAAATATATAAAAAGAAAACCTTGGATCTCCCAAGGAATAATACACTCCATATTAAAAAGGGATCAACTAAAAAAAGCGGCATCTAAGAACCCAAATGACATTCTCGCTAATCTTAACTTTAAAAATTATCGTAATAAACTGACTAACATAATAAACAAAGCTAAAAATGACTTCTACAGAGTTAAGCTCACACAATGTGGCAACAATATAAAAAAATCTTGGGAGCTAATCAAAGAAGTAACCAACGAAAAACGAAATAAATTTGACAAAATTGACAAACTGGTTGAGGGAGGCGTTGAAGTCTTAGATAGTGGCAATATTGCTAACCTTTTTGTTGACTACTATACTGAGGTAGGAAAAAATCTTGCAAACAATATAAAAAAAAAAAATTACAGATTTAAAAGTGAATCCAACTACCTTAACTCTATGTATCTTAGAAATATAACAGAGAATGAACTTATTCTACAAATAAACAGTCTTAAACTGAATAGCGCCTGCGGAGAAGATGGAATATCTACAAATCTAATCAAACAACACTATAAAACTCTACTTAGTCCCCTCAAATATTTAATAAATCTCATATTCTCAACTGTCCCATATCCAGAAATATTTAAGGCAGCCGTAGTAATTCCTGTTTTTAAGGCCGGAGATAAATCTAATAAAGAAAACTACAGACCCATCGCACTTACCAGTACCATAAGCAAAATTGTAGAAAAGTGTATTAATATAAGATTGATGGACTTCAACTATCAATAAAGGCGGGCTGTTGTCCGAGCGACAGTATGGGTTTAGGGAAGGTAAGGGAACGGATGACTCTATTTGCAAGGTGCTTAAATTTTTAAATGATTCTTTGAGTAGTGGACGTAAGGTGGTTGCTGCTTTTCTTGATCTGGCCAAGGCCTTCGACACTGTGTCACACCGAATTCTCCTTACTAAACTTGATAATATGGGTATAAGAGGTACACCTCTAAACTTATTGAAATCCTATCTTACTAATAGATCACATATGGTAAAAATAAACGGGTTATACAGCCATAGGAGAGTGATAGAGTACGGTGTGCCACAGGGGACGGTCCTTGGCCCGATATTATTCTTAATATACTTTAATGAATTTATGACAGCCCTTGAGGATGATATTACGGTTATCTGCTACGCTGATGACTCTGTGGTATTGATCAATGGGACAAAATGGGAAGAGGTGCTAAAAAGGTTGGAGTTAGCCCTTAGTAAACTTAGGCTCTGGCTTGACAACAACCTGCTCACGTTGAACTACTCAAAGACCCATTACCTAGCCTTCACGAAATGCTCCGTAAACCCAGCACCAAAAACCACCTTAAAAATCCATAGCCTATGCTGTCTTAAAAGTCAATTAACAAACTGTCAGTGCGAACGTGTTATCTCTCAAAAAAATGTTACGAAATATCTGGGCCTCTGTATGGACAACATGCTAAGGTGGGATGAGCACATTAAGAGCAGCATAGGTAAAATTCAAAGAACGATATATAAATTTTACGCATTGAGAAATATTTTGAAAACAAAAATGTTAATAATGATATATAACGCAATTGTACAGTCAATCCTAAATTATGGTATTATAGCCTGGGGATCTGCATGTAAAACTCTGCTTGAACCCCTCAATATTACTCAAAAATATGTTATTAAAGTACTACTTGGTGAAACTAGAATGACTCCAACTGTTGAAATATTTCAAGAACGCAATGTTTTAAGAATTAAGGAATTATATATAATCTCAACATTAAAGTATATGCATAAGTCTCGTAAGTGTAAAGTCAACATCTGCCATAACACTAGATCAGTGGGTGTAAATATTGAGATACCCAGATTTCACTTAACTTCAACACAGAGACATTTCTGTTATCTAGGCCCAAAACTATTTAATCTACTGTCTTTTGAACTAAAACACTGCAATTACTTAAGATTTTCTAAAAACATTAAACAATGGACACAGACAAATTTTGCCAATATCTGCTCGAGGATTGCATTGCTAGAATTGAAATTGTACTGACACTGTACCTGACCTTGTTTTGCCTTCTATCTTATTTTACTCTGTACCTGGCTCTGCTTTATTTTATTATTTTATTTTATGTTTTATTTGGTTTCTGGTACCCCATTGTTGTATACAATATAATGTATTTTATTATAATGTGACCACTAAAGGTAATCATTGTTAATTTTATATCACTAAGGTAAATTTATGTTAAATTGTGAAATTACAAATTATAATTAGTGAAAAGTAGCATTATATGTAAATGTAAATATAAATGTAAATTTTGAAAATCATTCTCACAAGCTCATAGAGCTTAGGGACTGTTCTGTGATGACGATTTTATTTTTAAATAAACTTATTCTTATTCTTATTGGAAAATCGTTCATTTCATATGAAGAACTGTGTAAGTTTATGCGTGATTATGGAACTAAAACCAAACAAGCTTTTTGGAAGAGAAGTAGTCGAAAAATAGAGGCAAGCCAAGGTATCAAAAGGGTTATTAAAGTGGAACTTATCTACTATGAAATAACCTATGCCTGCATCCATGGAGGGCAAAAATTCTCATTAAATTTACACTTTAGCGACTTTTCCCAAAAACGGCATGAGGGTTGCCAAAATGCAAAAAATAGGTGTGGAGGGATGTAAAAGTGCATAAACAATCGGCGCAGGGTGAAAAAGTTGTATAATTATCGCGTAATTAATAAAAAAAGGGGCTGATAATTGAAGTGACTTCTTATTTTCTGTAAAAAAGAACATGCAGCGAGCCAAAAACACGTATCTAATAGACGTAGAATTTGAAAGTGAAGTGAAAAAGCTTGAATAACAAAATTGAAATGCAATAACATAGTTCATGTTATACAGCATGGAGAAAATACAACAAATCAAAATGAAAATGAACTTAAAGGGAATGCAACTAAAGAGGACAATATTACAAATATGAGCGATAAACTGTTTTTTTCTAAAACTAATGACACTGAGAAAGAAAATATTGAGGGGGATACTGAGCAAGCAACTTTTCTCCCAGAGAGCTTAAACCAAACGCTTGATAACAATACCTTTAATATGAGTTTTGTGAGTTGTAATCCTCAAGAAATTGATAAGATGGACACTGCTTCCAACCTTAACATAAACAATTGTGATAATTTAAGTGATAATAATATAAGTAAACCATGTGATAGTCAAAGTATATTGAAAAAAGTCATAATGCCCAAGATAATCAAGAAGAGGGGTCGTCCAAGGGGGGCTGATTTAACTGTTATTGGTTTATCAAAAAAGAAAAGGTCAAATTTAAAACCAATTGAATATATAAAAAGAAATACCAAAGAAAAGGAGGAAATACTATTAAACTTGATATAATAAATTAGTGTTTGTCCACAATGATAAACACAAATATTTATTTGACGAAAATGACATTGTTACTACTTTGCCACACCCCTTATATGATGAAATTGTAGATATAGCCCTAATTGCGTCCTATTTTGATGAGAAAACTTTAAAGAAAATCCATAATATCTTAAACTCCAATGAGCCCATATGGCTGTGCAATATTTGCGATAGTTTAATTGAAACAAAAGAACAATGCATCAGATGTGAAAGCTGCCTTTTCTGGTACCATTTAAAATGCACTTGTTTAGTAAATGTTTTTACAAAAAATTGGTTTTGTTTAAATTGTTTCTCAATGAAACAATTAATAAATATTTTGTTATTAAAATTCAATTATTTTCAATATACCTACCTAATTGTTTTATTGTTTTTTTATAAAGTAAATATAATGTTGCAAGCTAAAAATTTTCGACTTTGGGATTTTGTAATTGTAAAATCATACCAATGTTAAAGGCATGAGTAGGTACTTATAAGGAAACGGTTCATCTGACACAAAATTTCAATTAGACCTTTTTTGTAGAAAATTTAATTTTCTTCAAGAAATATGTCAAGGTCAATTCCATTTATCTTGATGGTTTGGGAAACATATTAATA